TGCGCTAAGTTAAGTCAATTTCAAGAGATCATTACAATTTTTAACTTTGTCACTGGCAATGTCACTAATTTGTTAATAAAATACTGGGCCAAATCCTTCTACTCTTCACAAACATCACTGATTTTTCGAAACGCTAATTTTAAGTCTGTTAATTACATAACCGAGATAAGAAAATAATACTTTCAACTAAAACCTTTATTTTTTTTGTGAATGATCTAGGCAGTGTGTTTATAATGAGTAAACTGTGCTACAATGGGCGGCGATTTCCTCGAGAAACGGTTTCTCAGACGACGTTTCGTAAGTCTTTTAAAGAAAGAAGCTGTTTTCCGAAGCAGTTGTAGCACATTGTAGCACATTTTACTCAGAAAGTTTTTTTCAGTTCAATGAATTACTAACAACTGAGAAAATTTAAAGTTATATTACATTTAACACTATATTTTTGGTCTTACATAAATTATTCAATAGTGAACGTAAACCATTCTTAGATGACGTTAAATATTTTCTTTTTTAATTTTTCGATCAATATAAATCAAGTTAGAACCAGAGCACTGAGGAAAAATAAATGTTATGGGTGAATAACATCCAATGTGTTTGACGATACGCATGGAAGAACTGGGTTCACAAAATAACACAAAACCACAAGATTTCTCCTATATTTTCATATCCTGATATGATCCACTTAATATCTATAGCTACACGTTAAGCCTTAAACCGATCAGCTAAAAGTCTTTGAACATTTCCATTTCCTTTTCACTGAGAGATGGCGACTTCTTATTTTTGTCCTTTTCTGGATAGTTGTCAAAATTACTTGTGTCTCCTTCAGACTTCACCTCAGGGACAATGGGTGGCTGAAGAGGGAATGGTGTAGAAAGAGAAGAGTAAAATAATAAACAAAAGACAGGCCTGTTGTAAGATCACCACCAATTGCTTAAACAGTTATTTCAGACATTAATCAATGCTATTTGTACACCTATTTGTACATATAGATTGATACATATATACAAATCACTAATACTAACATTTAAATCTTGTCTTATCAATCATTTTTGTGTAAAAGCCACTCACCCATAATAATTATTTCATCTAAGACAGCGGACACACTGAAAAACAAAAGCCAGAACAAGGAACAGGTGGAAGATCAAAAAAGAGCAAGGCAGACAGAAAAAAATTTAGAGACAGATATACTGACATTCTGTTTGAAGAGTAAATAAAACCAAAATTAAGAGTAACAAATATTTTTATTTCTTGTTTTTAAGGTTCACATGTCATGCTGCGTTACAGCCTACAGAGCGCGTAATTGTTCTCGTGATTCATGATATGCGAATATCTTATTAACGTCACAACAGAACAAATTGCAACGTTAAGCGTTCCTTATGTGACATCATTTTAGTGTCTACTGACCGACTGACAGACATCACACTACTGTATAGTAGATTGGGTGGTTAAAGGAAAATTAATTATGTTTCGTTCAGAATGACACATACATGATGGGAGAGAGAAACTAAAAAACAGCTTAAACTTAGATATTATTAACTATGTTTAGTTGGGTATTGAGTTTCTTAACTGAAATGAGATTACAATCAAAATAGCTCGCTGGTTCGCTAGCTCTTCCAAAGAAGGAGTAGCACTAATTCAAGTAAAACTAAATAAGTGGTGATAAAATATATAAATAACATCGTGTTATTAATACTTCCCCTAATTCTGATTTGTTAATGACTCGTATAAAACTGATAAAAATTACATTTCACGATCTTAATCTAGCTCAAACCCTAACCGTTGTTGTTTGTGCAATTCGATAGTATCATTATCCTGTCAACCATGCACTGTGAGTTTGTAGTATCACAGCTGGCCTGATGAACCGTGGTATTGAACAAAAGGCCTTGTCGACACTGTAGCAGATATAGTATTGCTGACATATTATTATACATTCTTTTTTTATTATTTTCACTCATAAGTTCTTAGAATTATGAGACTTACGAAGTAGCTTTCAACATTTTTCTAAGAAAGCAAAGAGCAAGGAAACAAAGTTAATTTATGAAACGAAAACTTGGATTCATATACGTTTTTCCGAACAAGAACCACAGATCATAACTGAACTGATATTCTAATAACACTAAAATATCTAAAATGTAAACATTCTTCAAGTAAGACAATTTGATATTTCAACTTAATAGATATATTCAGTTTGGTGTCATTTAGTTTATACGATACAATTTGGAAGACTACTCATTGAATTTGAAGAGTTTAAAAGATGAATATTGATCATAATATTATATGTACGATATAAACAAGTTACAGGACTTGACATCATGATTAAAAATTTTAATTGAATTATCAGTGGGGCATCCTTCTTATAACCCCACTCCCTCTCTCTATCTATAAAATAAATGAACGAATAAACATTTCAAACTTCCAAAATCTCTGGCTTGGACCAATAAATAATGTTTTTACTACCTTATCTCTTCTGTTTAAAACATCGTCCCAGCTTATTCCTTTAAACAATCGATGTCTTTTGACGTCATCGGCCCCGTTCTGAAATACATTAATCATCAGTTCCACTTCTATAAACTGTAAACATTTTCCCATTAAAAGCCAGATACGAAAGACTTTTTTCCTACTTTAATTTTATAACAGTAATTTCAAACATTGAGTAAGGTATAAATTATCTTCTTCAGTGAACTTAATTTAGTAAGAAAACAGGCATACGTCTGTTAGGCGTACAATAAGCTTTAAAACACCTATACCTCTTGCTTAAATATAAACATAAGTCCAGCAACGTATTATTTGGTTTCTGCTAATTAGTGTTACACACACACTCATACTAATTATTTTCATCACCGAAATTTCATCGCTTCATCGAATTTTTGGTATAGCGTCTGTTATGAAAGAGTTTTCTGTAATCAGCTTTGACAGAAAAAATAAATTGTTTACAGAAAAAAACCATATATTTTTCTTAAACACATAATTCAAACACTACAGTGTGACAAACCTTTAAATTAGCACCACAATTAGTGGTAAAAACATGAGGAATTGATATAATATTTCTATCATAATATTAGTAAAGAATAAAGTAAAAAAAAATCAGAATAATTCTTCACGTATATATTCAGGTTTATTCGTACTACAAGCTTTCTCACGTATATATTCAGGTTTATTCGTACTACAAGCTTTCTCACGTATATATTGAGGTTTATTCCTACTACAAGCTTTCAAGAACTTTTAGATGCCCTTCTTCAGGTGGAAGTGTTGAGTTCAACTAGGTATTTTATCCAGTGTTTTGTTATTGTTGTTTTTTGCATTTCGCGCAAAGCTACACGAGGGCTATCTACGATAGCCGTCCCTTATTTAGCAGTGGAAGACTAGAGGGAAGGCAGCTAGTCAACCGCCAGCTCTTGGGCTACTCTTTTACCAACGAATAGATGGCGAAAGTGTTCAGCGAAGGAAATCGAATCGCGAGCGCCCTAGCCACCAGGCCTCTATCCAGTGAAGAGCCCTTAAAAGTGCTTGAAAGCTTGTAGTTTAATATACCTCAGTGTATACTTAAGAGATTAATCTGAAAATCTCTTTTTGCCTGAGAGTAGTTACGCTTGACTTGACATCAAAATTACAATGCTAAAAAAGGTTTGAATATGATCGATAATTCAATTATTAGAAAGCCTGAAGAACGTACGGAAACAGAAAATCAGTTCATTAACTATAAAATGTGAAATTAACACAACATTTCAAACATAAAATTGTTGAAAAGCATGTAGAAACACCTCAACAATGTAATTAAAATTGTGATAAAAAATATATGATTGTTTGTTGGTTTGTAATTAACAACAAAGCTACACAATGGGCTATCTGTGCTCTGCCCACCATAGGTATCGAAACCCGGATTCTAGCGTTGTAAGTCCGCAGACATGCCGCTGTGCCACTGGGGGGGGGGCAGAAACATATGAAGTTAACAAAGAATCAAATTAATCTAGTGCTGAAATAAGTATGAAATCAATAGAACTGACCAATACAATTGTGTGGGTTAAACACAGCATTTGTATTCCATTAATGAGGAGATTAGACAAAAGCCAATTTTACTGGTACTGAATAACACATGGCATCAATATAATAACTACAACAATCTATCTAAACTAAATAATTTGTTTAAACATGACAGGAGGAATATGACAAATATTTTAGTGTTGAAGATTACATTAAATAAATAGGATTTTTAAAACAGCACAGAAGAACGTATTATGTCACGATCTTATTACAATGTTACTGAATAATATAGGAAATCAACATAAGAATCCAGGCAAAATAGTGTTGACAAAATGTAAGATTCACACAATAGTTAGAATAGATTACTGCTGACTTATGGAATCCGAAAAAACTGGTCAAATTTGAGCTATCTTCAAAACACTGTGTTATAAGACAGATGAATCATTGTACTCATATACAAACCTAATTTTTGACGCACATTACTAAGCTCTATTTCTTGCTCAATTTTCTTATTTTTAAAAAACTGTAGATTTCAACACAACTATGTGGTTGCTATCTTCCGTCTGATAGATTACAGATACACATGTAGTTTCATGATTTGTTTTTATCAAGTTCTTCAGTGGATCAACGGTAAGTTTACAGATTTACAATACTAAAATCGGGGGTTCGATACCCCGTGATGGACAAAGTGCAGATAGCCAGCCTATTGTGTAACTTTCCGCTAAAACAAATACAATAACAAAAGCTTATCATGAACCACGACAGTGGTTAATAATAGGGATCGCACAGGAATTTGCTCAAAACTCTAATAGAACATTCGAGCAAAAACCACCTTAAGAAGCAGACTTATTCTTGAAACAACATTCAAAACATTCCTTTTCAATAGTTAAGACCATCCATACATTGATAATAAGCAAAATAAATGATTTCACGCTTTAGCACAAAATCAAAATTGGCCCAATTGTTCGCATTATTATTATTATTGTTTCAGAAGCTTACAGCAAAATCAGCAGGGTATTTTGCACCAAAACCTAGACAGATGTATTATATGAAACGCTGCGTATGTCCATGACCTACTTAAAAGTTGATTATTTTTCATTGAATTGTTTGTTTGTTTGTTTTTTGAATTTCGCGCAAAGCTACACGAGGGCAATCTGCGCTAGCCGTCCCTAATTTAGCAGTGTAAGACTAGAGGGAGGGCAGCTAGTCATCACCACCCACCGCCAACTCTTGGGCTACTCTTTTACCAACGAATAGTGGGATTGACCGTCACATTATAACGCCCCCACGGCTGAAAGGGCGAGCATATTTGGTGTGAGAGGGATTCGAACCCGCGACCCTCAGATTGCGAGTCGATTGCCTTATCCACCTGGCCATGCCGGGCCTTTTCATTGAAAATTTAGTAGCTCTAATTACGTAACAGATGCAATATTGTTCTGAGCGGGTGCTTTTGTACTAGACACCTGTTAAACACGTGTTTACAGGAAACATCGGCACAAAGCCACCTGGCTCAGTAAGTAATGACTTTAAAAGACGCGAAGTTTTATTCAAAGCGAGGTTTTAGACGTATTTGTTTTATTTGAAAAGGCTGCTTTTATACTGGTAAATTTTTATATGCGCTTAATGGGGGTTGTTTCTTACTCTAGGCATATATTGCCCATTGCTATGCATTAAAAATCCAACAAAGTTACTTAAAAATTCAGAATTTAGAATTTACAAACAGAGACCAAAAAAAGTAAGCAAACAAGGCTAGAGATCTACTGCTGACAGTTTACTGAGGCTACAAATACCTATAATGACTCAACTATAAAATTATTATCTACTGTAGTGTGGGATCACACAGGAATTTTGCAGAAATTGACAGGGTAGTTTTAAACTTAATTTGTTCCACCTTAATTTTGTCATGCTGCAAAATTTTCTAAAACCTTCACTTTCCGCCATCAAAAAACTGATGTTGGTTTGTTTGTTTGTAATTAAGCACAAAGCTACACAATGGGTTATCTGTGCTCTGCCTACCACGGGTATCGAAACCCGTATTCTAGCGTTGTAAGTCCGAAGACATACCGCTGTGCCACTGGGGGGCAAAACTGGTGTTTTCCTAGTGTGCACATTAGTTGGGAACTACAATTCGTGCATTTTATGGCGCATTAATTGGAAAATACGACGTGAAAGGTTCCCTATTTTACTGTTGTATATCGTTACTCGATTTGCTATTGTTCATCGTTACTTAAGTTTTCTGTCTTTATGAAAATATCTGCGACTATATTTCAGAAGTTTTTAAGAGTGGACGATTACCATAGTAGATTTTCCTACATAGACAATGGTGATGATTATTTCTACTGTTCCTATAATTAGCTTAAACCATGAGTGCATATTCAATATTTATTATCACTGCATATAGTACTATTTCTTATAGCTATTTCTATTTTTAAATAGTTGATGTTAATTTAGCGGTTGTAAAGGTTGTCGATAATTGGCGGCTTATGCCAAGATTGTCAACATAGTCTATCTTGCAGGCATTGTTTGTGTCGCTTTATTCTAGCAAACTCGTGTGAACAGCAGGCTGATGAAGAATAAACATATGTGTCATGTAGACCTAATAAGATAAGCATGTTAGTGCATCTGTTTATATTGCATTATTTTGAGTAGTATTAGTTTAGAAGAAACATTATTCCGTTTTGATAAGATTGCTTTGTTACTGTTCGTCTTTTGTTACATTACACTGTGATATTGATTAAAACCGGTCATTAAATCTGTGATAATACAATCTTTGCCTTCAAGAATAACATTTTGTTTGTTCTAGTTGCATACCAGTACATGTGTTTATTCTTTGTTGTACATATGTTATTTATTTTTAATAAGTTCTGTGTGGTGATTGGATGGGGAAAAAAGCCAATGCAGCTGTAAACTGTTGACAAACATGTAGCATTCAACTGAACGCATATGCGCGTATTTAGCTTCAAATTTATTCTTCATAAATGGACATAAAAAACAAGATTAGTAAGAAATTGTTAATTTAAAAGGGAGAATAGGGATCGTCAAAAAAATACAGTAACAAGTTGAATCAAAACTCAAAGATTATATTTTCAAGATAACAACTGGGGACTATAGAAAAGTAAACAAACAAGGCTGGAATAGCGTCTACACTATTTTTCTAAATCCACAAATCCCTATTTTCACTCCACTAAAATTAATAACTACTATAAATATGGAGTCAAAATAAGGAATTTTAGCTTGAGAAAATAGTGTTGACACTATTTACAGCCTTGTTTGTTTACTTTATTTAGGGTTCTTAGTTGTAGGCTTGAAAATATTATATTTGCATTTGAATCAACTTGTTTCTCTACTTTTTTGACGATCCCTATTCCCCCTTTTTAAATTAACAATTTTGATTAATCTTGTATTAATGTTCTGCATAAAAATTTCTTGAAGCAAAACTAGTTATACGTTCCTCCCCCCAGATAATATATAAATATATATATATGAAGTTATTACTAACCCTAATCTTTCTTTAGGACTATCACTGGAATTCTTACAGTTCAAAATCTTTCACCCTGAACTATTATAGAACTTTTACGTCTTGGATTACTAATAAAGTAACTACCAACTCAAATTTCACACTCCAACTTAGTATTGGAAGTTGCTTACATTTTTCACAACCTGGATAATTTCCAGATTTTAACAAAAAATATTTCATCTCACACAACGTAAGAATATTTTATTAAAAAGACAATAATAACACATCAACATAATAGTCCACAAAAGATTAACTAATTGACAAAACATAAAAAATCTTCAATGTAATATATTACTTCAAATGACAAGATCTTTAAAACACAATACAACTTTACCTTCATGCATCCTAAACGCTTCGTGCGATCTGGCATAAGTAACTTCTTTATTAGGTCCCTGAAAGCAAGAAATAATTTAAAACTGATAAATCCAACAGTCAAATATATATAATAAATCCCATATCGTTTGATACTCTCTAATTCATGAACTTCCTGTTACTTGTTGTATTTATTAGTCAGGATAATCTGTATTAAGTAAGATATTATAATTCTACACCCTGGTCTATGATTTGAAGTTACTATTGGTCTATAGTAAATGAAATCAATAGGCCTTACTTCGCCACTGGGTCTATGTGCCGTGGCCATTCTATTTTTCCACCTAGAATCTTTTCATAGATAGAAATTGGGTTGTCATCGAAGAAAGGCGGGTACCTGTAAGGAGGAGTTCCAATTAATGTTTTCTATCCTTCAACTTTGAAATACAGCCTTCTTGGCTGAGTAATGGAAACTTAATGTGTTCCCGACAAAATACTGAGCTAGTAATAAAACAGTGTTTTTACTGGGGAAAAAAAATCTTTTTTTTTTTCTTTGTTTCTCTCGGATTCTTACTCGACATTTATCTTCCCTTTTAATAAATTATTTGCTTCTGATTACTTTATCTAACATTTTTAGACGTTTGAAAGCTCCATGTAATAAATACACTTGAAAGTATTTCAAAATAACGTTAAACCCAATGATTTTGCACTCGTCAACACATCTGTATTCTGATATATATATATATATACTAGCTGAGTTACCTGGCGTTGCACGGTGAAAATTTAGATTTGAAATGTAT